CTGTAAACGGACTCGATGGCAGTGAGTGTGGCTTGGCGGATATATCATGCTAAGAACTGCAGAGTTCTGAGTGAATGAGCAGATTCTAAAATGATCCTGAAGTTTTTTATTCCCCCACTCACTTGGGTGGGATAGGAGCCTCGTGTTCATACTGCTTCCCAAATGACTATGATCATTCATCATCAGTGGAGGTACTGATTGAGCATGTTTCAGCCCTGGTGGCATAGGGGTTACACTTTGGGCTGCCAACTGCAAGGTCAGCAGCTCAAAGCTGCGCAGTGGGAGAAGGACAATGCCTTCTACTCCCGTACAGAGTTACAGCCTCGGGAACCCACAGGGGTCGTTCTACCCTGTTCAAAGGGGTCCGTGAGTCAGCATCCTCTCGGTGGCAGAGTTTGGTTTGGAGTCACCCGGGGCCTTATTAAAAGGTGGGTTGGGGATGGGGCAAGGGTCTGCCTTTCAGTCTTGCTTGTGGGTGTCCTCAACGCTGTTGGTCTGCGGACCACACTTGGAGCCCTCTGGGACGGTAAGGCTCAGCTTGATGATTGATTGCAGAGAGCCTGCTGCTGCTGGGGGCACCGGGGCCTTTGATACAGGCGCCCTTGTGGGGCTGCCCAGAGCTGAGAAATCTCTTGTCAGGGTGTTGTTAACAGTGAGAGGAGAGGCTGCGGGGAGGGGGGAAGTGGAGAGGGGGGGGGAGCTGTCGAAGTGGCTGCGATGTCTCTTTCTAACTTGGAGGATAAGGAGAAAGAAAGCAGATGGCATCTTTTCAGTGGCTTGCCCTGCACCCTGGGTCCCTGGAATCTCGCTATCTCTGGGGATCCAGCTGGCGAGCAGCCAGGGGAATTAACTTCAGAAAGATGTGCTCCTTCTGCTCGTTAGCCGGCCCGAGGCTGCCTGGCCAGCGGCCTAGGTAAAGAGCAACATGGGCTTTGGAGGAAGCCACCGTGTTCTGTCAACACACAGATGCCGCCCTGCTCCCCAGACGCCCCAGGAGCGCCCTGCACTCCCGCCACCTGCCCAGAAGATGGGCAAAGCCTTCTTTTCTGACCACTGATTAGAAGTTTTTTTTGGGAGGGGCAGGGCCGGTGGGGGTGGTGGGGAGGCAGCCATTGCTGTTAGAGCCATTGGATACCTTGGGGGAGGAAAGAAAAAAAAATCACTCAGAAGATCCTGCTTCCACTTCAGGTTTTTTAATTAGCTTAAAAAAAAAAATCAGTGTTTCTACTCCTCTAAAGAGTTCCCATCTGGGAAACTCACAGGGGCAGTTCCGCCCTGCCCTATAGGGTGCAGATGAGTTGAGTGGACTCAATGGCAGTGAGTTGGAGGCTCGTGTTGACATTTCCGATCATCTGCAGCTTTGTGTGCACCAGTTTACTCATCAACCGCCCCCCAACCCCACCCAAGAGTTGACTCGGGGGGGTGGGCGCCCCCCCCATGTCTGGATTTCTCTTCTTGTGAATGACTCTCTTCCAGCTCATCCCAGTGCAGTCCTATCAACTGTCCAGCCCTTTCCTTGATTCTGACCCCGCCCCCCCACGCCCTTCAGATTTGGATAGGAACCTGGGGTAGCAGCCCTGACTGAAGTGGCCAGAGCTCTGGGGCAAACATAGGGGTTCCAGCGAGGAACCGCTAGCTGCTTCTTGTGACCGCTGGCCTTCTCCTTACATGATGAGCCCTCTCCCGGTTGGTGTTTGTGGGATTCCCATTTAGTCCTTGTGCCTGGAGCTGGTGAGAGCTTTTGGAGCCGGCCCAGTGGCTCCGTGCTTGCAGCATGATTTGGGGAGAGCTTGCGGACGGTTTCAGCAGTGGGGCGATGGCAAACTGCTCATTCTTCTCACCTGTGAAAACAGGACTGCCGTTGCAGAGGGCCACGCTGGGCTTGCCCCTGCCGTTCTACAGCTCAGCCCAACAGCAAGGGGACACGGATCCCGCCATGTGGCTTTCTTCTCCTTCAAGCCGTGCTTGGGGAGGGGGGGCGGGGGCTCCGTGTGTATTAAAGATGGTGAATTCCAGCAGCCGAGGACCAGCCTCGCTGCCTGGGCCGGGTGGCAGAGGCAGTGTGGTCTGTAGTGCTTGCTCAGATTTCCAGAGGAAGTCCTTTCTGCTTGGGGCTTTCGTTGTGGCCCACTGTGAGGACACCAGAGAGGCACTGACTGACCTGCGAGAGCCTGGAGGGATAGCTTCCGGGCCCTTCCTGAGACGTTGCAGAACAGCCGGCTGCCCTCATGACTGTGGGGGCAGGCTCTTTTCAGACCCCTGCAGGGATGCCTTCTCTGTGAGATTCGACACAGAGCCGTCAGGACTGACCAGATGAGAGCATCTCCAGCAAAGGGTGGCTCTCCCTGGCTCAAAGACCCCGTGTGTGGGGCCTGCTCACAGGTAGTGGGATGGCGAGGGTCGTGGAGGGCCCTTCCTGTGGATCCTAGCACCACGGCCTGTCTGCAGCCAGATTCGTGTGGTTTCCCATGTGGGCATGGCCAGCCTTTTCGGAAGACCTGTTTGAAGCCTCAGGTTTCTGCCGTATGGCCTAGAGGGCCACCTTGTCCGTCCATTGCATTTAGCCAGCCAGAATGTTGGTAGGTGGCAAGGTCATTCTGAATCCAAGGTTGGGGTGACTGGGTGATTGACCGAGACCCCCAGGTGTGGTAGTTCTTGGAACAGAGTGAGGGGAGCCTGGGTCTGCTTCCCACACACCCGGGGGCGGCATAGGGTCATCTCATCGCTGCTGGTCACCTTTTCCAAGAGAACTCACTGCACAGGGCATTCTATTCCCAGGCACACGGAGAGGACATACTTTTTGATGTGCCTAGACGTACTCTCAAGAGGTGAGTCGTGGCATCCTCATGGCAGGCAGCTAGCAATCTGGGGCAGCTCACATTCCCATTGGGCAACGGCTTAGGGGTTCCTGCTCTTTGAAGATCAGTGTGGATCCTGTTTAAAGTGTCACCTTCCTATGTTTCATAGCTCAGCACAAACGGTGCTTGATGGGTGGTGGTTAGTGCTCTGTGCTATAGATCTTCGGGTGACTACTTTCCGGAAACGGTGCATAAAACTGTAGGTCAAAAATGTTTTTGTAACATTTAGAGGGGAATTTATTGCCATCTGCACCCTCCATCCCCCAGTTCTGCACCCCACACAGACCAAACTTCACTTCCATCTTCTTGGCAGGTCCTTGCTCCGTTCCTGGGGCGCGCCCACCCCCGAGGCAGCTTGAAGCCTGCAGAGTTTTGTTATGACTCCTGCTCGTAGGCAAACCCGGGCCCTGATGGCGTCGTGGGTTCTGTGTTTGTCTGCTGACCAGGAAGTCAGCGGTTTGAAGCCACCAGCCCCTCTGAGGGAGAAAGATGAGGCCGTCTACCTTTGTGAAGAGTTATATTTTCAGAAACCCACAGTGGCCACTCTACCCTGTCCTATAGGGTCGTACTGAGTCAGGATCGACTCAATGGCAGTGAGTTTAGTTTTATAAGCAAAACGTCTATCCTTGTTTAGTGTGGGACTATAGGACGCACTTTGTAATGCCATACTGCTGGTCAACGAACAACAACAGCCCAAAGTGGCTGCCACTGAGTCGGCTGGAGGTGTCCCACAGTAGCAGTGCTCCAGAGGGGTTTCTTGGGCGTGATCCTTAAAAAACAGATCACCAGGCCTTTCTGCCATGGATCTGCTGGGTAGATTTGAACTGCCCACCTTTTGGTTCGTCACTGAGTGTCAATGGTTTGAACTACCCTTGGGCCTCTAGTGCCGCTCCTACTTAACTGTTTCCCTCTGGATCAGCGGTTTTCAACCTGTGGGTTCACAGGGGTCGCCCAATTCATCATCGTAGCAAAATGACAGTTGTGAAGTAGCAGTGAAAGTAATTTTATGGTTGGGGGTCCCCACCAGAGGAGGAACCGTAGGAAGGGGCTGCGGCATTCGGAAGGTTGAGAACCACTGCGCCAGATGCACAGGCTGCGTGTGTGCTTGAGGGGAGGAAGGAGGGGAGACGGAAGAGAAATGACATCGTCAAATTTCTCATTTTTTATTCACTTAAAATGTTTTGTTTTACATGGAAGAATACCACGTATTTGAAGAAGAACTCATATTATATGTATACAATGTAATGAATGGTTACACATTTGTGTAAATGCCTCTCAGGCTGAAAAAGAGAACATTAGCGATAGCCCTACCTCC